TTTAATTGGAAAAACGTTGAAAGAAGGCACAAAAATGTACATTTTCAAAAGATATGGAACCCACGATCTTACAGCGGACATTTTCTCGTTTATTTACCTCTGAATCAAATCGACCCTCACCTCCTTCAATCGCAATAATTTCGACTTCTGTACAAGATAGATAGTTATTGTTTTCATTGAGAAGCAGGAATAACTAATGAGCAAGCTTTTAGAAGATACCAATGACCCCACATGCCTAAACATTGACGAGCGCCAGATTCCACCGCGCTGTGACACAAATAGGTCAATCTGCACAAGGCGAAACCCCTCCAAAGACGAAGTAGGCACATAGACCCCCCCACCCCCCTCGAATCCATGTCCGATGCCTTCTTTGGTGTGTCTACTACTTCTCCTTACTTCTCACTCCATTCTTCTGTCTTTTCTTCCACCGCTGACCTCATGTCCCATAGAGTGGACAAGCAGGAGGCAGAGCTCCCCGAAGCCGGGGCCTTTGAGCTCCAAAATAAAACAAAACCCAATAAAATAGCGGTCTTGCAATGGAATGCCGGAGAAGCCCGCCCTTCCAGCGCAATAGTGCAACATTTACGTGCCACACTGTGCCCACTTGTGGTCTGTATTCAGGAGACAACTGCGCATCACCGGATTCACTAAAGGTACCAGATTGCTTCCGGTGGAACCACAATACATAATACACTCCGCTGACAATAAATATTTGGGATGACCTATCGGCCCCAAACTATTGCCTTCGTGGCACCTCACAGTTTTTGAAAATTTGTTCAGAAATTTTCTTTAAGTTTATGATTTATTTATTCTTTTTTTAAAAAATCCGTTTCCTTATTCACTGTTGCTCCTAAAATTTTGGTTCAAGCATTTCAAGCTCGTAGCAAGCCTTTGTGACAGATTCTCTTGCGTCTTTCTCATTCTGCCTTAGGTCCAACTAGTAAAATACAAGGGGCCTGGTCGTCTGTTCAGAGCGGTTGCAAGTCCCTGGACTAATATGTCGGTACGTATTTAGACCGACTTTAAGCCCTTCTACATTCCATAAGACATAAGATCACTTTCACATACAGTTTTCTTTAAAGAATATAATGAAAATATGAAGTCCTGTCGTTTTAAGGACTAACGTATAAAATACAAATAAGATACAGTGGCGAAACGTCCATATAATCAAATAATCACTGCTCCCCTTCCTAATGTTGGAACATTGTCACCGTTAATTTCACCTATACACGTTGAACTCATAAATTAATGTAAAATGACGTTCATAATCACCAATGAACAGCCGCCTGTGCCTAACATTCAAAACTGTTTCATTGCCACAGAAATACCCAGTTCACCCCTTTCGAGACACTACATAAGCAGTCACGAGTTTTGATTGTGTAAGCTTAAAGTGAGGCTGGAAGAGTCTACCAAAAGAGTTTAAGGGAGGGAACATGAGCACAACACTCAAAACTGTTTCATTTTCACATAACAAATACCCTGTTCACCCCTTTCGGGCCACCGTCATAAGCAGCCACAAGCATTGATTATGTAAGATAACTACATATATTACACTTGTCGAGTCTACCTACAAAGGTGAGGGGAACTAACTCCTAATAATCTCATGACTGCTGTAGGTGCTTGTTTTTTTCCCATGATTTATAATTACAGCCCTATAGTCAGATCGTGACCATGATTATGACATCGGCTCCTGGCCGCGAAAAGCTAGACAAAAACAAAACCATCAAAATTTGAACTGTCCTTGTCTTGTATTATTGTAGTATTGACATCTCAGCTTCTTTGTTTTTGTTTGTCTATTCACATCTACAGTTAAATTTAGCTTTAGTTGGAATATATATTTAATGAGATACTTCCCCGATTATTTTGGCAGTTGAACATGAATTCAGACTTCACAACTCAGTGTTGCAGTCTCGAGTAAGATTCTTGTGTGACATCTCTATAATCTGGTTCCTGGTCTCACTTTGATTACCCTGTCAAACTAGTCAGCCTTTGCCTCTGATAAGATAATTAAACACATATAAAGAAAATGAAAAAAAACAGCCTGGGTTGGCCTCTGACCGACAGAGTCGAAACAGTCCGCCTCCTAAATGATCTGAGGTTTGTCGACAGGAGCGCAAAACATCTACAGTTCTAATCACAGAGAACATGGTTGTTGTTTTCATTCCCCTCAGAGGAACTATTCCCAGCCTTGGAAGTTTTCTGTTGGCCAGGATGGTTTCATTATCAAAGTTACCATTTACCCTGTGAGATGCACGGATCAGGGCCAGTACTTCTGTATCGTTGAGTACAGGTAGGTGCTGAAGTCACCATCTATCTCATATCTATACAGACACACACACACACACACACACACACACACACACACACACACACACACACA